CAAACTGAGGACAACCAGTGGAAACTCAGACTGATAAATAATTGTACTAATTTTTTTCATTATTTTGATTGTTTGATATTTTAGTAATAATTCCTTTATTTGTATTTTGTTTTTAAATTTCACATATGATAAATATTTTTTAGTCATTTTATTTTTTTTAATTAGTTAATATTTATTTTTTTTTGTCTATTAATATCCACACACAGTTTTATTTATTTTTAATGTGTATTTTTACATAATTTTTATTTTATATATTTTATTATCATTTTTATTATTTAATTTTTAATTAACACACACACACACACACAAATGCAACTTTTACTTTTTTATTTACTTATTTAATGAAATGTATGAAATTAATTGTTCTTATGTAATTTATTTGTAGCTTTGGCAATATTTTTATATATATAATATGTTATTGTTATTGTTATACATTCATGCCAATATAGCTGAATTGAATTTAAGGCTGGGTGACAGTATGTGTGTCCACAGCCAACAGCAGGCATGCACACGCACAAAGTAACAAAGGCAGCTGCACAGACAACTCACACAAGACTGTTTAACAATAGGTTTAACTTTTAACCCTTTTATATGAATTTGATTTAAAGTTAGAATACTGAAGATTTCAGTCTGGGTTGATGTGGCCACAGTTGGGGTTGAGTAGTTCAGAAATACAACAGAATCCTCAATAGATGGTAGGCTGCCTGCCCTCTCTCTTTACTGAATGGATCAAGGAGCTTATGATTTGTCTTCAAACTGAGAAACTAAATTCTCACTTTAAATGAATCACAATGTGGTTTCCCTTCACTGCTTACGTGGATAATCTATCCTTCCCAAGTTGACATCCTGACCTTTTTATATTTTGAGTGCAACAGCGTGCATATATATATATATATATAATTGACGGACACCGTTACATTTAAGTAATATCCATTTTTGTTTCTTGAATCATTGCCGTTTTCTCCCACGCTATCATATTTGTGATATTAAGGCTCCATTGAAATATGGCTTGTTCTGTCCTATCTGTCATGGACTTTGTCTAACTGTACTGTATTTCTCTTTTCTTTATTGTTGTTTGTAGCGTTGACACTGTTGAATCAGGATAAACTAATAAAGGAAGTGTGAAAAACAGAAATACAACTAATCTATCTGTTTACAGTGTAGCCAAACCAACCGTGGGCTGTGAAGATCCATCTCATTACTCATCTCATAATACAGAACTCATGATCAGATGTTATCATCTGTATTTCCAGTTCCAGTCTTCTGCTAAATGTTGCAATATGAATCCCATGTAATAACAACAACTATATAATAATGATGCAGGAAAGGTGCAATCTGTCATGAACAAAAATTACTGTATAGAGAGGAAATTATTTCAGCTATTGCAACAGAAACTGTTTGGCATCGTGTCATGCTGTGATTTGCACCAAAAACAAATCTCCCAAAAGGTACACACATACATCTCTCTCTCTCTCTCTCATATGTAGATGGGCTGCATCTGGTTCACTGAGCTAACTGAAGGTGGGTCTCCTTACAGAGGCTGATGGACAGCATGTTGGAATATCTGCAGCTACTGTGAGAGCTCTCAGCTCCAAGCCGACAAGAGGCAGAAAGGCTTCACAACATCTTTTCTTCACTCTAGTGCAAACATAATACACACACACAAGCCAAAAAACAAACAAACTAATCCACAGGCAAAGAAGATTGGTATCAAAATGCAGAGGTCAAGTAAGGATGGCCACATGAGAGCCTAGATTGAAAGAAATATCCCTTTGATATGGAGTGGAAAAAATGATGAAAAATGGTGACGGGGAGAGAGAGAGAGACACGAAGTGTTGGTTGAGAAAGTGAGTGGGCAGCAGCCAAGACGGAGTTTGCCTTTCTCTCTCTGTGTTTTCTGGCCACAAGGGTTAATGTGAGACTACAGCAAAGAGAAAAATGGATTTGTGATGGCAGGCTGGCGCAACTAAACTCTCTGGGCAGCTAAATTGTTATGAACACCGCTCCTACATACCAACACCACCGGCAACACACAGGAAATGTGACACGATGGATCTTAGATTTGCTCTTAGGTGTAATGCTTACTAACTCTCCCCATCCAAAACAAACTTATTACAAGATTTCTCATCGCAGTCACAAAGCAGGTAAATTGCTGCTATGTAAGTGATTGCTTTCTCAACAGTTTATGTAAGGTGTGTTGGCGAGCGCTGCTCTGTGGTGTGATGCTGCTGAGCTGTGAATCCTAAGGCTGAAAAAATAAATAAATAAAAAGGAACAGCTTTCTCTCTCACCCTCCCACTCCTCCTCCTCCTCCTCCTGCACTCCTACCACCATTTGCTGCTAACCTCCCAGGTCAGCCGAGACCGAGCCTACATTCCTTTAGCTGCTCTCTCCAGGGAAGTCTCTTCCTCCCCCTCCTCTTCCTTCATGTTTTACTTCTGCACTATCTTACCAAACAACCACACATTAATTGTAGTTTTACCTATATCATCAGATGCTATTTGGGGGCCATGTAGGGGTTCCACAGTTCCCAGTGTAGCAACAAGATGAGGTGCACTTTCATGCTGAGGCAACTCACCAGCTGCTATTTTACTAAAGCTGTCCTGTGCATCACAAGCTTTTCTTTTTTCAGCTTCGCCTCTTCACCTGGTCTAACATAATCCTCCTCAACCTGTCCACCAGAGGCCATGTTCACACAGACAGACAGCTGATATCTGACTTTTTTCACATTTCTAATATCAAACATCCATTTTGTTACAAAGTCTCAACAGAAAAAAAAACAAACAAAACAAGGCATGATCAAATCCAGATTTCAAGCCGGATTTAAAACATATTCGCAGGTGGTTTGAAATGCAATTCAAATCCAATATCTGCAACAGCAACTCAGCCCAGACTGCTCGGATCAGATTTCAAGTGTTTGCTTATTATTTCCATCATTCCCCCACAGGAAACATATTTGACATTGCAAGAAGCGTGGAGAAAAAGATATGGATGAGAGGCAAAATGTGAGTCCAGGACCAGCCGACATGGTTTACACCACAATGCAGTGATGTCAACTTAAGCCACTTAAAAAGAGAACCTTTATAGTTACTGGGAGGCAGGGGTGAAACGAACACGTTACATTTACTTTAATCACAAGTATTGCACTTCACTACATTTTAAGTCGCATCTTTTATAGAGTAAAAACAAAAGTAACATAAAAAAAGTTATGACAGACTGTGTGAGAGGGGAACAAAACAAAGGCTGCAGCAAATCAGCAAAGGGCAGACAGAGGGCATGAGAAAGTCTGCACTCTCTCAGTGACTAAAATACTAAATGCCAACATGCTTATGGTGGATCATCCATCGACGAATTCTACATTTGCTTAGGAATTTTTCTCTTCAGTGAGCTGTGTGAGGCCTTCTGCTGTTTCTAACAATCATCCCTGGCACAGTTGTGACTGCTGAGCGCTCATTCAGCTCAGTGACTGAAAAATTTGAGGAGCAGGGGGACAGAGTGGCTGAGTTGACGGATTATATTATGCTTTGAGAATGGATGAGCAGAAAAGTTGAACCTAGAGCGGATTGTGGAGGACTTCACAGTGCACAAGACTTGCAGAATTACGTTAAGGTAGGTGAGTACAACAACACACACACACTGATTGTTGCTTTTAACTCTCTCTCCTGAGGAGGACGTCAGCAACCACTAAGTTGTCTAGAAACGTAGCGTTATGTGTGTTACAGTTGTTGTGGTGTGTGACAGCTGTGCAGGTTCTCTTTTTGTTTTAATGTGTGTTTTGTGAGCTGTAGTTGGCTATAGACGGATTTGTGTAATTTGCAGGGGCTGCAAATAACGATTATTCCCATTTATCAATTAATCTGGTTACCTGGTTATTACCATATACGTCTATAAAATGTCAGAAAACTGAAAAATGCCCTTCACACTTTCTCAGAGTCCAAGTTGACACTGAATAAAAGCAGCACATTTTTACATTTGAGAATGTGCAACTAGTGAATGACAATTAAATCAATTATCAAAAATGCTGCTGATTAATTTTCTTTCAATAAACAGAATTACTTGACTATTTGAGCTCTAGTGTTTTCAGCTACTGCCAATGGAGAATACACTTAACTATGTGTGCCAGAGAAAAAAAAAATACACTCTTAAATATGTATATGGTGGACGTCTAAGACGCTTCAGAAAAATGCTGGCAGTGTAGATTGCCCTTTAGTCAGCATGCACTGTTACAATGACAGCTAATGCCGTAATGACAGCAAATGTGCCGTTTAAACACTGGATCACTTACAATGCGGAGGCCAAGGGGCAGCTCGAGGAGGACAACAGAAGAGGAGCCTCTGGTAAAACACTGAGCTCTAATACAGCTACAAGCTGAGGAGAAGTGCTGCTGCTGGCAATGATATGAATGCATGTACACACACACAAACTTAAGAGTTGAATTTCTTACCCTAACCCCCTAACATTTACCCTCTTAAACATTCACATGCTCACTAAATGTAAAACACACAGAGATACCATGCCAGCTGCAGTAGCTGTCTTTTCATACTCGCATACATCAAAATTCTCTGTCTGCTTATTCACATACCGAGCAAGGGACATCAAGTTCAAGTTCTCACAGCTTTACTTAGGCTTGGCCTGTACTATAATAGTGTTTGTCTCACTGAGAAAGTGACACGCAGAGAAAACGGATAGATGCCATCGTCCTGAAAGTGTGGGGGAGGGGTTCATCGCTCTAATTATCAAGCAGTTTTTTGATAAAAGATTGCTGATTGAGAGAAAAGTGACGAACATCAGTAAGGTCCACAGAATTGGTAAAAACCTAAAAGACACTCTGGATATTCAAGAGAGTCGGCCAAGATCTATAAACCTATTTCTAAAACATCTTTAAAAAAGCATGAGAATGACTAGTTGGATCCCCAGAATCGATGACCAACTTCAAGAACCTGAATTTATCACACAGTGGCAAAAAAAAGGACGGAGGCTGGTTTACGTAACCCACTCACCCTGGGTTGCCAGTTTTCGTATTGCTTCTGCAGGTTGGCCCCGATGGTCTCCAGGGCTTTCTGTGGACTCATCGACAGAGGATCTGGCAAGACAACACAGAGTGTACAGTCACAGCATAGCAGGACCACACACACTCTCAATCTGGAGCTGAAAAACCAACTGTAATGATATTATACACCACATACATTCTTCATGATGTTACCCATAAGATGACATAAGCCAAACAAGCAGGCTGACATTATTTAACATTCGGGCCAAAGATTCTTCCAAGTCATGTTTACATAGTAGAGTTATAGTTTATGATTTCAGCATCAAAGGATTTTTTCTTGTTAAATCAAAACTAGGGTTTTGAAAAATAGCAGCAACCCCTCAGGATGAAATATTGATGAGAGTAAATCAGCATGGCGTATAGCAAAATATAGATTGAGGACGGATCAAACTGCGCTCAGCAGGCCCCAAAGAATGAACTGGCAAGCATGCAGGAGATACTGACATGCTTTCTGCTGAAAATTAAACCACCGCCCTTATGGTGAATGAGGCCTACTTATCACAACAAGACAGCAAAAACATTTATGAGTCCAATTATAAATTCTTAAGGAAAATATTACTCAAAATACAAAATAATGACATTTTAGTGAGCAATTAAAGAATCTTTGCTTTTTTTCCCCTCAGTTTGGATATACTATAATTTTAAATAAAAACACACAACAGTAGTGTCCTCTAAGAGCCCTATGATGGTAAAAAGGAATATTGCAACAGTATGGCTTGTGCCTACATATTGCGTGGTGAGCTTAAAACACCATTTTACAATTTCCTGTTATGATGAAAAGGTTTAACGGTGCCAGTATGTAAGGGACACACTCACCAAACTCATGATGGCCACTGACAAGCAGATGTTAGCCCCTCAATTAGAATATAGCTGTACCATGTGTCATTTAATAAACATCATGGTGCATTTTAGGAAATCACCTTTGCCTTTACTCCATAACATTCCCGAATACAGTCTCAAAAATCAAGTGGCAGCTCTGCACAATGTCAGTGTCCTCAGAAACCGCCGAGAAAGTTTCAGAAACTTTAAAAAGTGTGTTCCCTCTTTAATGTGCTTTCCTCACTCCTTAGAGTCAAGCAGTCTCAGGGGAGGGTTTTGAGGTTCCCATTCGATGGAGATGGTTCTGTTGTTTTCGTTCTGTGTCACATTTTGTTGCTCTGGTGAGGGCAGACTGCTTCCTCCTTCGTTGACAGAGGAGTTATGAATTGAGCTCCCGTGGGAATGACAGAGTGCGCCCTTAAATGCTGTAAAGTAAAAGCTAAACTTTCACTGTCACTGTAAGTTGACAGTCGTCTTGTATGGCTTACCACTACTTAATAACCTCTGTTTTTGCTCCTGTTGGTCAGGGCTGATCAGACACAGATGCGTCGTTACAAAACCGTTGCCTATGCAGTGCGCTTCATTTTCCTAACAGTATTTAGACGTGCATAAAAGTTAAAATATCCTTTAGTCTCTCTAACTCCGGGAGTATGTGCACAATATCTGTATGTTTATTTTTTTTGTAAAATAAATGCAAATGAAGGGAGAAAGTCAAATGATGTGTTGGTTCAACTGTGTTGTTTATTATGCAGTTAAATGTTTAAAGGTAAAAAAAAAATAACAATAAAGCTCTTGATTTTATAAAAAGAGTTGAGTCTGAGAAGAAAGGGTGCTATTTTAAAGCTTCTGTTACAGATTTGACACTCATGCCTGACAAAAGGCAGAAACACATTGTGTATCTCACATTTAGGAAGAACCCACTTTTATCACATCATGTGTTGCGTTTGAGTGCTGTTGGTGTGCGTCTGTGGGGACTCACTCACCTATCCAACACTCCAGTCTGGCACAGGGGGAGGTCTTGACCACATCAGGAGGGTCCACTCCCACGTTGAGACACAGCACAAGCGCTACACTCACAGTCTTCATCTGGGGGAGAAGACACCGGACACAGCATTACCCTCACGTCACTCTCCAATGTTTAATTCAAAACAAACTAGTGGATTAATTTCCAACACAACATTAAATCTTCATTCATCAGAGAAACTGGACTGAGCCCACATGCTTGTACTCAGGTCCGTCCTGGGAGTTTTCCAGTAAACCACATTCTGCTGCTGCTGCTGCTGCTGCCGCTGCCGCTGCTGGCTACTGAAGCTCCAGTGGAGCAGTGAAGGTTAAGTGTCTCGCCCGGGGGAAACTCAACACTAGATACTGAGAAAGGAGTTATTATCTTCCCTTCCACGTTTTACCCATCTGGTCCAGGGATTCCATTATGTCTAAAACTGAGGCTAGTTTCAGTGCATCAACGAATTTAACCTGCAGTCTCAAAGGTTTGTCACTGACTGTACAGGTCAGGTTGCAAGCATTCATTTGGAAGAGTAGAATCATAACAGACTGAAAGCCACACAAGGTAACGACCACAACCCAGAAAACCACTGGGACAGGAAGTGAGCAGAAATAGAACAACCATTGATCCATGGGTTATGTGGCAAGTCCTGACTCACACACACACACACTTGATCAGACAGGTCTCCTACAGTGCAAATTACACATTGCAGTTAACAGTGATCCATCACTCCATCTCCACTGTCAGCACCTCAGAAACTCTTTTCTTTGTGCACAGCAAACACCTTTATGACACCATGGCACCCAACCTGTAACTCTAATGATTACAGGAACTCTTGTCCTTTAACACAGCTCTCTGTCTTATAAAAGCACAAAATATATATCAGTGACAACATCTGTATCTTGTAAATATTGTTTGTTGACATTAATGCAGTGTTAAAAAGTAAGAAACTTAAGAAGTACTTAACTTAAACTTATAAAAAGTAGTGCTACTTAGATATTCTTTGGGTTTAGTTAATATGATGAACTTGTTAAAGGAGGGTCACTGGATCTCTGCTCCATAAAATTCTCATCTCTGCCACTGATCAACTCACGAGGACAGTTATTGAGGATGGCACTGCTTGACCCAAGCTGACCAGTGACTGCTTCATTATCGTGTCACTTTGTAAATCAAAGTCTGATAGCCTTTCATCTGGGACAGCACTCTTGTCTCCAATTAGCCGTCGGTCAGCTACATGCAGAGTTCCACACGGGGCTCAAATCTTTATTGCAGCTCCTTGGTTACGATTTTGCTGAAATCAGATCAAAACAAAGAATCTAGATTTTTTCAAGGCTGCAGAGAACTACTGTAACTGCTATAAGAGTCATAAAAGCTTCCCTGAACGCACCAGGGTTTGTTACTAGAAGATGAACCAGCAACACTATGGGCAAACTGAGAACTGACTAAGCTTACGTGCTAGATGAAAAGTTAAGTGACCACCAAAGTAATTACAATTTATCCTTTGGGGGAAATAAATGTGCGTGCCAAATTTCATCCAATAAGTTATGGAGACATTTCACCTCATGGAGGCCCTTAAAGAAAGGACAGGGGATCACCAAAGTCATTAGGATTCTTCCACTGGGCACCATGAAGATCTGTACAAAATCCAGGGCAAGTCCTTCAGTACAGATGGAGAGATTTCACAGGATAAATGAAAGCTTTGACCTATTTGTGGCCCTAGATTTAAAGTGAGGGGATCACATTTATTGGTTTTTTCATTTTAGTGTGCGTTTGCATATATATGTTCTTCTGCTCCCACTATTACCCAGAGATGGAGTGGGGTTGGGATGGGAACTCTGAAAAGGGGTGGGGAACTTTTTATATACAGTCTATGGTGGGGAATAGAAAACGACAAAAATGAGCACAGTACCTCTCTTTGGCTACTTGTTTTGTAGACACTTGTTTCTTTGATGCTCAATAAAATATATTTGAAAAAAAAAAAAAAAAAAAGTGAGGGATCACCAGGTCAACAGGATTCATACTCTTGGCACCATCAATGTTAAAGTTTAATGGAAATCCATCCAATAGCTTTTTGAGATTTATTTAAGTCTGGACCCAAACTGCGGACCAACCAACACTGCCATCCCTAGAGCCACGCTGCTAGCATGGCTAAAAACTAAAACTGATACATTCACTGTCCATAAGTCAAGGCTGGGTAACATCCAGAGACTGTATATCAGAAGTGGACGTAGTCATGGTGACGTCACCCGTTGGTTTGTGGACTGCCGTTTTGAAGCCTCGATTTTGGCCGATAGGGCACTGCCATGTTGATTTTTTGCAACCAGCGACACCGGGCGTGACCATATTTGGGCGAGACGGTGCCGCTAACGGCCGTGTGTGGAGCTAGCTAGCTTGCTTAGCTAGGTGCATCTGTAATTCACGTTAACGGTCATCAAGCGAACAACAGTCTTAAAACCAAATGTACTCACCAGAGAAAGTGAACAGCACTGACTCCTAATAAGCTTTTTCAATGGTAAGGTCAGTACTGGGTTATAGAAATGACAACAACTGTACACACTTATTTTGAGAGCTATAACCACCTGATACGCGTACAAATCGCCGTGTAGGTCAGTGCAATAGTGCCAAGTGACCTTTAGCGGGTAGTGTTAGATACTGTCTCTGTGTGTAATATAGACCTATACACCACACGTTGTGTGTGTACAGTGGGTTACATGACGTCCCACTGCTGAGCAGGGTGAGGAGGACTGTCATTAAGGAGCCTTCTACTTTCCAACCAACAAAAGGTCAGTAGTGGGACGCACATACACATAGCTTCATTCATTTTCACCTGACCTCCTCAACCCTCGCCCTTTTCCTGCCTGCATGGTGTGCATCATGAACCCATCCTGATGAATGGGAACTGATGCACATGTTTTCTGCTTGGGTACATAACTATATGAACACAATACGTGGTTACTGTGAAAAATTACTAAGTTGGCAGTTCCATCACTGCTTAGCGCGATATTCCCGAAAACTAAGGGCCTTTCCGAAACTAAACCCTCACCACTTCCACTGCGTTCCGATCCACAGTGTACGTAAACAGTACTCCCTGCTCCCTGCACAGGGAATGTCGGTTAAGGGAACTTCCCTCCAATAAATTCTTCCATTCAGAACACCGCTGCTACTGTGGACATTTTATAAAATTAAATATTGAATATACATAAAAACAAACTGATACAATTATAAAACTTATATTTCCATAACTTGTTCTATTTATATTCTATTAAAATTAATGTTGTTTGTGAATAAATGTGATTGGATTAATTTACAAGAAATGCGGTGTCAGTCTTAAAAATATTCATATGAGCATTGTTGTTTTTAGGCAACCTAACCTCTGAAATTATCATATAAATAATGATAACATTAGTTACAACGACAATAATTACAGATATACGAACTCTGTGGTCTGCACTATTGTTAGTTTTTGCCTCTGAGCCATGACATGAATTTTCGGATGACATGAATAAGATTCGGTAAAAACAACACAAGTTGTATTGTCTATCAGACAAGAGCATGTTTTTTTAATTAAACATAATCTTTGGGCTACGTTGTTGATGTGAAATGTTTGCGTAGTTTCGGAATTAAAAAATCCTACATGTTAACCAGCGAAGTTACAAGGAACTCACATTTGAAAGAAAGGTCTCTCATCGTGCAGCAAAGGGTGTTACACACCTTCAATGAGCCGGCATCAGTGCTCACTCGGCATTGGAGGGTTTTACAACCTACTACCACTCCGCCCTCATTGGTTTCGGATGGCACTCAATGTGGCGGACCCTCCGCATGAATGTGCAAATGAAGTGAAAGTAAGTAGGGAGGTAGGGCTTTATTTCGAGCTGAAATGAGAGCTTTCACTATGAAAACATCTGTTGGACATTCAAAAAGAGTCAGAAGTTTGCTTGACACATCTCTGAAATAACCCATGAGATTGGATTCCCTGACTGCAAAGTGCTGCAATTTACTCTGCCTGGAGATGAACATCGTCCATAGGTTGATGGATGTGGATTAATCCACTCCAGCAAACGCTTTACTGTGAACATGTGAAACAGTCTCTTCATAATTAATTTTTATAATTGGGAGAGAAAATCTAATCACACATTGTGAGGTTCGATCACACAACCCTCCGACTAAGAGGCCTGTGTATTACTGACTGAGCTAACCAGGCACACTAACAAGTGGTTTTAAATTTTCATTTGACTGAATGTTCTGCCTCGCTATCTAATGGCTTAAAAAAAATTGTCCCGATGCCAAATGTATTTGTCGACACCTGGTCTACAGCCTACAAGTACAGGCTCTGTGAGACTCTACTAAATGCTAATGTCTGAATGCTTACATGCTCACAATGACACGGTTAACATGCTGATGTTTAGCAGGTATAATGTCTTCCATGTTTACAATCTTAGTTGCTTTTTAGTATGCAATCATTTGCTAATTAGAGCTACACATAATGTGCAGTACAGTGCAGTATTGGCCAAATAAAACATTTTACCTGCTGGTGGTACCAGAGGAAAAGTCAGGGGATCACCAGAGTCATTTGGCTTCATCTTCATCACAATTTATCCAGTAGTTGTTGAGATATTTCAGTCTGACCAACTGGGAAAAAATGTTCAATCATTAAAACTTACCACAGAGATAAATGATCACATTAACTGGCTATTGTGAACTTCCCAAAGTTGCCATGTATTGTGGAGATGGAATAAAAAAACAAATGAGGGCCAATGCAAGAAACACACCTGCGAAGCAAGTAACCTAGACTAATGAGCACTATAAGTCATTTAAGACAGACATCTTAAATGACAGTATGTCTGGAGAGAGCCAACAGATGTCTCAAATACACACTTGTCTGCTGCCAACTTGTGATGGTATCTTTAAATCCAATGATAGCTCAAGAGTTGTTTTAAGAACACTAGAAAGAAGCTAAAAGCCAACCATGGCCTCCCCAGTCACCAGATCTAAAACTCAGTGAGGTGTCATGAGACATACAGTAAAGATTTTCACTTCCTTCATCCTTCAAAGAACTGGAAGTTTCCCTTCAAGAATGGTCTCA